GATTAGTTGGCCAATTAATTTCTTTCTATTTATAGTACAGATGGGGTCTAGCTCTTGCTCAGGCTGGTTTCGAACTCCTGCCCTTGAACAATCTGCCCGCCTCAGCCTCCCAGAGTGCTAGGATTACAGGCATGAGCCACCGCACCAAGCCTTAAGAAATTAAATACGAGATTTGGTAAATCTTCCTCTGATGTCCAGTACATTAGGAATCAGGAAATTGACCCTACTCCCAGAACCTGAGTGTCTGAGGAGAGATCCTTCTAACAGCTAAACAATTTAAATTAAGAAAACAAAGCCACTGAAGCTGTCCCATCTAATCACTAAGAAAAATTAAATGGTGCTTTTGCCTGGCTGCCAAGATCAGCTCCTGCTGGCTCCACTACAGTTAAGTGCTATAGGCAGAACTATGCAGATTGTCAGTAAGTCCTATTGTCATTTCCAGAAGCCATCATAAGCTCTTTCAGACATTTCTTAGCAAACCCCTGTAGATACCACTGCAAACGAAAACATCTACAAGACCCTCCGTGAAGCTGACCAAGTGATGATTAAAACTTGGGCTGACAGCACCTGCTTGCTCTTTTATCTAAAGTGTTGTCACACTTATCAAGATGTATTCTGCCCATCTGCTCTTCCCTGAAACCTCTCTCTGGGAGTATTCATCATGCTCTGAAGACTATGGTTAAATAAAGCTTTTTCGGCTTTTTTTTTTTGAGACACGATCTTGTTTTGTTGCCCAGCCTACAATGCAGTGGCATCATCATAGCATACTGCAACCTCACATGTGATTCTCCTGTCTCAGCCTCCCGAGTAGCTGGGACTACAGGTGCACACCACAATTTTATTCTATCTTTAGTAGAGCTGGGGTCTCATTCTTGCTCAGGTTCCTCTCAAACTCCTGACCTCAAGCAATCCTCAGCATCCTAGAGTGCTAGGATTACAGGTGTGAGCCGCCATGCCCAGCCAAAGCAGAGCATTTCTGAGAAGCGGTTTCTTTTCTGGTGCCAATCAGTGTTTATAAGGACTAAGATGTAGCAGTCATGAAATAGCAAGGGCTCAGAATGAGATTTTTAAACTACAAATGTTCATTTTCTGAGAGCCATAGGATTAACTATTCCAATTATTAATATAAATACTAATCACCACCAGGCCTGTATTTGGAACTTTATATAAAATATTTAATTTTCACAATCCTAACTAGGCATATTATTAGAAAAGGAAATGATTATCTAGTAAGATTGAAAGGTAATCTACCTTTCTCAAGAGATCTTATAGGTGACAAGAACTCCTGATGCATTTTTTACAGTCCATAGCCTACCTGGTCTTCAGTCTTGTCAAAATTATAAGAGACTAAAGTATATATACAGACTGCAATGAGTTAACATACACTGTGGGATATCACTTCCAATAATCAAAATCTAAGGCCCAGAAAGCCAAATTAAAATTAGCAGATTAGTTAGAGCAAATAATAATTGAAATAATTTTGAGAGAAGTATCACCTAGGTCAAGATGAGACTTTTCTTTTTTAAGAGACAGTGTCAACTCTGTTGCCCCAGGCTACAGTACAGGGATAACATCATAGCTCATTGTAACCTGAAACTACTGGGCTCAAGTGATCCTCCTGGCTCAGCCTCCAGTGTAACCAGGACTACAGGCATGTGCCACCATGCTTGGATAATTTTTTTTATTTTTTGTAGAGATCTCTAAATTCTAATTGCTGCCCCCCACCTGACCTCCACCCCCTGCCCCCGTACAGCAGAAAGATATTATTCACAAATCTCAGGAGGGTGGGGCAAATAATTGGTCCAAGGATTCACAGCTAGTTAGTAACAGAGTTGGACCTGAACTCCAATTTGTCTTATTTCAAAGTTTGTACTTTTTTCACTTTCTCTACACTGCCTCAGTCTGGAATGACTGGGATTCCTAACATATACCAGATCACATTTAATAATCAATAACTAATGTCCCACCTCATGATGAGCCCAGAAGAAAAACAGCCATGTCAGACATTCATTAGTTACTTTATAAATCTGTAAGTCATTTAGCTTTTCTAGAAAAGAGGCTGCCTGACTGAACAGCAGGTTTGCCTATAGATTCAGGCAATCTCTCACTGATGTTCTGATTTTCCAATCTGACTCTGTTTTTAAAGACTACCTAAAACATTCAGGACCATTCTTGTACCCATTCAAGTTAATTGTACAATTCATATATAGTTACATTTAATACCAAAATGTCTGTTGTTTAGCATCTTTATTTCCTCTTCCGAATCTCATGCTTTTTATTATTATATGTTTTATCTTGTTATTTACCCTTTTCCCCAGTCTTATTCATTATCGTAGCTTCAGCTATCTGCTCTTCTCAAGGAATTTACTTAATTTTGCCTAGACTTTCATACTGTCACTATGAAAAATCGTTAGTCTTTATTCTAATCCCTACAGAACCTAACCAATGGAAGAATGCTATTAGCCTCCTCTTTCCATCTTTTAAAGCATTGTTTATAAATTTCCTTTTCAATAAATTCTATTTTAAAGTCAAACTAGTGTCAACATGCTTTTATAAAATTTATATATTAGCCATAAAATCTCTACAATCTGAATAAATAATGTATCATGGATTTATGTAGGCCAGCTTGTCCTGTTGCTGGAACAAAGGAGAACATGAACCTTTAATGGCTTCTCTTGGTCTACACAATCAAGTTCTGACATCTCAGCATGGCAGTGAAAGTTCTTCACAAAGTCTGGCCCACTTTCCCACCTTATCTTCTGTTAATTTTCCCATAAACACTACTCTCAAGATGCCAGACCTTGGCCGGGCGTGGCGGCTCACGCCTGTAATCCTAGCACTTTGGGAGGCCGAGGCGGGCGGATTGCTCAAGGTCTGGAGTTCGAAACCAGCCTGAGTGAGACCCCGTCTCTACCAAAAATAGAAATAAATTAATTGACGAACTAAAAATATATATACAAAAAATTAGCCGGGCATAGTGGCCCATGCCTGTGGTCCCAGCTACTCGGGAGGCTGAGGCAGTAGGATCGCTGAGCCCCAGAGATTGAGGTTGCTGTGAGCCAGGCTGACGCCACGGCACTCACTCTGGCCTGGGCAACAAAGTGAGACTCTGTCTCAAAAAATAATAATAAAAAAAAAAAAAAAGATGCCAGACCTTGTCATAATTATCCAACAACTCTGGATGATTTCCAATCCCTATGCCTTTGCATTAGAGAGTTTCTCTGTTGGTGCCCTCCTCCACCTCCTCTTCACAAACTCTCCTACTCATTTTTCTTTCAAGCTCTCTAACTCCTTCACAGCACAGTCAACTATGTATTGTGGGTTCCACATCCATGGATTCAACCAACTATAGATCAAAAATATTGTGGAATTGGCCGGGCGCGGTGGCTCACGCCTGTAATCCTAGCACTCTGGGAGGCCAAGGCAGGCGGATTGCTCGAGGTCAGGAGTTCGAAATTAGCCTGAGCAAGAGCAAGACCCTGTCTCTACTATAAATAGAAAGAAATTAATTGGCCAACTAAAAATATATATACAAAAAAATTACCCAGGCATGGTGGCGCATGCCTGTAGTCCCAGCTACTTGGGAGGCTGAGGCAGTAGGATCGCTTAAGCCCAGGAGTTTGAGGTTGCTGTGAGCTAAGCTGACGCCACGGCACTCACTCTAGCCTGGGCAACAAAGTGAAACTCTGTCTCAAAAAAAAAAAAAAAAAATTATTGTGGAAATAGATGGATCTGTACTGAACATGCACACACTTTTTCTGTCATTATTTCATAAACACTATAACAACTATTTACATAGCACTTATATTGTATTAGGTATTATAAGTAATCTAGAGACGATTTAAAGTATATACTGTGCATAGGTTATATCCACATACAGCACCATTTTATTTTTTTTTATTTTTTTATTTTTTATTTTTTAAACTGTGTTGAATTAATTTATTAAATCTACCTGTCAAGTGATCCATTCTGTATGGAGCCTTGAAACGATGTATTGAGAGTTTATTTGTAATTACTGAAAGCAGATGGTTCTGAAAAAATTGCAAGTAATTACAGGCTCCTTACAGCACCATTTTATATAAGGGAATTGAGCCTCTGTAGATTTTGGTATCCAAGGGAGGTCCTGGAACCAATCTCTCAGAGCTATCAAGGGATACCAGTTTTGCTGGTCTCTCCTCTGCAGTCTCTTATCTCATGGCGGCTCACGCCTGTAATCCTAGCACTCTGGGAGGCGGAGGCAGGTGGATTGCTCAAGCTCAGGAGTTCAAAACCAGCCTGAGCAAGAGAGAGACCCCATCACTACTATAAATAGAAAGAAATTAATTGGCCAACAAATATATATAGAAAAAATTAGCTGGGCATGGTGGTGCATGCCTGTAGTCTCAGCTACTAGGAAGGCTGAGGCAGAAGGATTGCTTGAGCCCAGGAGTTTGAGGTTGCTGTGAGCTAGGCTGATGCCACGGCACTCACTCTAGCCTGGGCAACAAAGCGAGACTCTGTCTCAAAAAAAAATTCTCCCTTATCATATGCCCCAAAAATATCCAAATTGAGCATACCACTTATTCCTTAAAAAATTACCAATCTCAAATTTGTACATCCAGTTTCCCAGATTTAGTATATATCTCTTAATCCACAGTAGCTCTAAAATGCTTTCTCATCGAATCTCTTTTAAAATCATGAATCATCAATTTGCCAGAGTGTTTGCATAAAAAAACAACCAACATTGTTATTCTAGACCTAGTTCTCATGCTCAAAAGAGAACTGGTTGGTAAAACGAAAAGAAAAGAAGTCTTTGGAGAAAGTTAACATTCATCTTGGAATGTTAGCTTAGACAAGGAATAATGAGCATAATCAGACCATATACTCAAAACTTTAAAGAGAAACAATTTAAGGAGGTTGAAAACATCTCAATAAGAAATCCTACCTACATTATGAAAATGGTAACAGTGAGTAATAAATGAGTAATGTCCAAAGAAACCAAAAAACTGGCTATATACCACTCCGATTAACTCAGATTTAACAAGAGAAATATAAAATGTAGAAGAGCCACATAAACCAAGTACAAAGAGAACAATGGCATGATTTGGGAAGAAAAATCAGGAGACTGAAACCCAAATGAGCTGAGGCTTGCAAAAATCTTCAAGGACAACAAAAAAGAGCTTTTAAAATTGTATTCTGGGAAAAAATTGTATTCTGGGAAGAGACAATCTTATGCTAATTGATGACACAGTGAGAAACAGATTGTGCAACCATTTTATATGTTAAAGAGAATGCTCATCAGAATGAAAAAGACAGAACAAATATTGATTTGAAAGAACTGAAACCCTAAAGAGGTGAGGAAATTGTAAAATATCACTTTAAATTCCAAATGCACTTACAGCTCCTGGCCGGGAGCTGAATGAATTAAATCCCATGACTGAAGATGCTAATGGAAGAAATATACACTGTTCTGGTAATCTTTGAGAAATACTGGTATGGAAAGTGGAAGTAATGTGACATAAAACTGCTGACCTCAAATGTTACCCTAAATTTCAAAAATGGTTAAAATCATAACATGGTTAGTCTACTATTGAGTAGATAAAAGAGATTTTATTTTCCAAAATTAACTGTAGTTTATTTTTGTAGTTATCATTCCAGTCCCCCATGATTTTCCAGAATCTTGTCATTTCTCGTCAGGCAAGTATTTAGCCCCTACTCTCGAACCCTGGCAGGACTTCATGATTGATTGCCCTCAAGCAACAGAATGCAACAGAAGTGTGCTATATGACTTATGTATTTCCCTTCCCTCCCACATGTTATGAGGAAGCCCAAAGAAGCCTATGCAGAGAGATCATGTGGAAAGGGCCATTTGGAGAGAAATAAGGGCTCCCTCCAACAGCAAGAATCAACCCAAGACGTGTGAGTGAATAGATCTTCAGATTAATTCAGCCCCTAGCCTTTGTGTTTTTCAGCTGAGACCCCACACATCATGGAGCAGAGTACAAGTTGTCCTCACTATTCCCTGTTCAAACATTAGAGTTAAGTATAGAAAATCAAAATTGTTTTAATTCATTTACAGAAAAGCTAATCACTAGGAGCCAATATGATTTCCCTTAGGAAAAAAAATTTTTTTCAGGAAATACTGAGATCCATATCTTATTTATCTTTGCATTTCCAACTCCTGAAAGAGCATCAGGTATACTGTGACCAATAAAAACAAAAATCTACTGACATCGGCCGGGCATGGTGGCTCACGCCTGTAATCCTAGCTCTCTGGGAGGCCGAGGCGGGCGGATTGCTCAAGGTCAGGAGTTCAAAACCAGCCTGAGAAAGAGCGAGACTCCGCCTCTACTATAAATAGAAAGAAATTAATTGGCCAACTGATATATATATAAAAAATTAGCCGGGCATGGTGGCGCATGCCTGTAGTCCCAGCTACTCGGGAGGCTGAGGC